ACCCTGGATTGAATCTGGCATTTATGTCTTGCGTCACCTTAGCTCAATGCTTCTCCACCGATAGATAAAATGGAGACATTAATAACCACCACATAGGCTGTGTGTGAGGATCAAGTGGAGAATTGTTCAAGTATTTTGCTCTATGCCTGGCACATAGCCAGCTCTCAATCAATGTCATGCTGTTTTGAGTGGGGCGTGTGACACAACCTCCTGAGACTTCAGAGGTGAGCTGGGGAATGATTGTACCTCTGGGGAGTAAGTTCCCCATTCAGTGGGTTTCTGGTTCTCAATCTGGGAGAGAAGGTTCAGAAGGGGAGGTGCTGTGTTATTTTTTGAAGTCCCCTGTTGGAGTAGGAGTGGACCCAGATTCTGTGTTTTGCCTAGGTCCACAGAGGAGCATGAAGCCATGGCTACAAAACTATTCTACAAATCAGTGCAAATTTCATTTCATTTCATTTCATTATTCTGCAAATTTCATTCATCAGTGCATAAGGACATCTAGTGTGCAATGCGGTCTGCCTGGAATCCTAATGTGCTATTTGGGGTTTAGTGCTTTATGTAGCAATATCCTTGGGACATACCCATGTCCACGTAATCAGGAGATTTAAATATCTGGCCTCACACTGTTCAAGGAAGCTGTCTCCTTAAATAGGGAAGATCATGGCATAGTGGGTCTCACCTCTCCAGGCTTATCGGAATGTCAAAAATCCTTTGGGTGATTAAGGCACACATGACTTTCTTGTGTAGTTAAAAACTTGGAAAAATGTGAGATAAAAACCCCATGAAAGTACCTGGCTTGCTTGGTAGGGCCAGTGGAGCTGAGCAGAGCCAGGACACAGGTAGGGCCTCCAGGGCTCCTCTCAGGCCAGTGCTCGCTCCACCGGCGGGGGGAGCACAGCCCTGGCCCGGCTCCCATTGGCCCCCCCTCCCAGCCTGGGGCTATAAAGCAGGATGGTCAGGGGCTGGGCACCTGTAGCTCTCTCCTGCCTCTGCTGCTCCCTTTCCTGGGGTCCCAGATAGATGGGAAAGCACCTGCTGCTGCTGCTGGGCCTGTCCCTGAGTCTGGGCTTCCTGCAAGGTGAGCCCCTGGGGGACAGTGGGGATGGGGTCCAGGTGAGCAGACCCACACAGGTGGCTGTGGACTGGGGCAGTGAGGAGCATGGGCCAGGTCTGGATCTCTTCTTAGGGGAGATGGGCACAGCCTTCATCCCATACAGTCCCTCTTTTCTTTCCTTCAGGCTCCTCTTCTCTCTTGCCAGTGTTAATATCTGACCTTCCTAAAGTCCTCAAGCTGTCTTCCCATGAGCCCTAAGTTGTATTTCATGGGGAGCAAGGAATGTTTTTTGTGGGTGAAGAAGATGACGAGGGCTGCTACAGGAAGACAGCTTTGACTGTTCACCAGCCCTGGGTGGTGGGTGGTGGGTAGTGGGTGGTGGGTGGTGGTGGTGGGTGGGTGGGTGGGGTGTCATGGGCTCCCAGAGCACTGGACATCCATGTGGAACTTCCTCCCCTCACAGTAAAGCCCACCCACAAGAGTGCAGAGATCCTGTCCAAGCCTGGGCAGACCCCACACTCAGGTGCCTGCATGCCTTCTCGCAATTATAGCCCCAGGCTGAGCTCAGCTCCTCAGGCTCTTGGTGGGCACTGGCCCTTGTCCAGGCTGTCTGGGTTAGAGCGGGAGCTCCCTCTCCTCAGCAGTGGAGGTGCTGTGCCCAGAGATCCTCATTAGGCTGGCTTCCATTTTCCAGCTCTACAATGTAACAAGTGCATTAAAATCAACGCTTATGGGCGTTGGGAGTGTGAGGCAGACGTCTGCGAGATTGCGGATGGCCAGTGCTACCTGATCAAAGTCTTTAAAGGTAGGTGGGGCCTAAGACATATCTGAGGTGACCGTTGTCTAATGTTGGAGATTGGGGAGGGTGATTGGGTGAGGGGTGGTATGAACCACCCATGAGACCCACATGGGAACCCAGGCCCCAGTGACTGGGAAGTGTGGCTATAGCATGTAGAGAAAGGCTCCTCAGGAACCATGGGATGGGTGCAGCATAGGGCAAAGGAAGCTGTGTTTTGTTTGTCTTTAACTTAAGTGAGTGCCAGCAGCACTGTCGGTTCTCATCAGTATCCCTTAATGGGCCTGGTGACCTAGAAGACATGTAGGGATACGTCTGTGTGGGTCTGAGGGGCACTGCGACTTGGGCTCCTAAAACTCAGTGTGGTGTTACTCTCTGGAAACTGGGGATGGGGTGAGGAGGAGGGATTGGGCCGTGAACTGTCTCCTCACCCTGCCTCCCTCTCTTGGTTGGGAGGTGGATTGAACTCATATGCACAGAGCCCCGAGAGCTGTCCTAGAGAGCCCACTACGGGGTCTTACCTCAGGCCCCTCAATCACCTGGAGGCAGGTACATCATCCCTCCCAGGAGCCTGAGTCCTCGTGGATGTGGCATCTTCTCTCATCCTTGATTGATTGCTGATTGCATTGATCGCTGATTCACTCAGCAGTATTTATTGAACACTGTGCAGGCTCTGCCTGGGTCCCACACCGTGTGTCTGCAGCTTAGCTTCCGGGGCCTCACTTACCATCTTCTCTCTGCCTCTCTCCAGGTGGAAACCTTGTCTATGGATACAGTGGTTGTAACCCCAGTGTTCGAATAAATAAGGTCAATGAATGAAAATCCTGATATGGAAATCGAATGCTGTAACTCAGATCTATGCAACAAGTTTTAAAAACAAGACCCAGATTTTGGCTTTCATCTGATTATATACTAATGTATATAAAGGTTTGTTTATTTGCTTATAAACAATATTAAAATCAACATCAATGTGACTTATATATATTTTATGTCTAAGAAAGATTTTTTTATCAGTATAGATTTGCTTGTTTATTTCAATAACCTAGAGACATGGTTTCTAGGTTTTTTTTCTAGTCACGGAACCTATATTGCTCAAATCTCTGGATGTGTATTTCTACACATGTGCATCTATCCTTGCTCAGGTTTACAAAAGTTTTAGGCATTTCTTAACTCCAAGGACTCGGGTCTCTATTCTGGACCTACTGGAACCCCTTCTCTCTCCTTTTGTTTCCTTCCTTCCTTTCTTGTCTCTCTTCCTCCCCTCTATGCTCATATTCTGTTTCTTTTTGCCTTTCCTCCTTTTTTTGTGTGAGCATTTATCGAATGCCATTTATGTGTCAGGCACTGTGTTTGGCCCATGGGAAGAGATAAGTAAGATACAGTCTTTTTCCTCAAGGAACTCCCAGGTCAGTGGAAGAGGCTAACAATGAAATAAGTAGTTACAATGTAATGTAGTTAGTATTGTAATAGAGTGTTTGTAACAGTCCATAGGTGGGACACCTTCTTTAAACACGAGATTTAA